GTTAATTGTATTTTTAGTAGAGATGGGGTTTCACCATATTGGTCAGGCTGGTCTCGAACTCCTGACCTGGTAATCCGCCCCCCTCAGCCTCAAAGTGCTAGGATTACAGGCGTGAGCCACCACCACGCCCAAGCCTGGACTAATTAACTAGGATAATTGGAGATGTTGGTGGGGTGAGGGGTGTAGTACACAGATATCTCAAATCACAATTACAACAAAACCAGTCAAAATTTAGCACACACTTATCAGCTATACACATAATCCAAAAGTGTAAAAATAATTCCAGAACAAATATTTAGAACATCACAGCAAAGTTGATAAAAGAGCCTGTTAACACTTTCCGCTCCTCAGCTAAACTCAACTGTTCAAAAAGGACAAAAGGGGCGAGACCCAGTTGTGGCTGCAAATATCCCTGAATTCCTTCCTTTCCTCTCACTTCCTCCTCCCTCTCTGTGTCCTGAATCCACAGCTACACCTATTCGCCTGGGAGATCATCCACTGTTTGCTCTCTGGAAGGAGAATTCTCAGATGCAAGGGATTCTGGAGATCTCATAAATGACAGCAGTGGAAAGGGCCTTTCCCTATCCCAGCAGCCATGTGGCATCTCCTGATTAGCAAGTGTCTGTCAACAGTAGACACACCCTCCACTGTGCAGTTTTCATTTTCTCAGAGTGCACTGTTTTTCCAAAACAGTGCACTCTTTCACTTAACTCTGTATGAACAAGAGTTGACTGCTGCATCTCCTCAAATCTAAGATCCACCAATTATTAAGATATATCATTATTTTATGTGCCACTAAGAAGGAAAACATGCTGCTAATTATAGAACTTAATGCTTTATTTTTGGTTGTGTGTGTGTGTGTGTGTGTGTGTGTGTGTGTGTGTGTTTTGAGACAGAGTCTTGCTCTGTCACCCAGGTTGGAGTGCAGTGGCACGATCCCAGCTCACTGCAATCTCCACCTTCCGGGTTCAAGCAATTCTCCTGCCTCGGCCTCCCAAGTGGGCATATACTGAGAGACCTCCTAGAGAGGCCTTTAGGAGTAGCTGGGACTACAGGTGCATGCCACCACGCCTGGGTAATTTTTGTAATTTTTAGTAGAGATGGGGTTTTGCCATGTTGGCCAGGCTGTTCTCAAACTCCTGACCTCGGGTGATCCGCCCACCTTGGCCTCCTAAATAATGCTTTCTTATGGGAATTTTCCCACACAATATCTAGCTCTTGCTCCTGTGCCATCATCCTCTGTGCATTTCTTAAAGGGCTCCACTCTAGTCTTTAGGACCTTCTTCTAAGCCTCCGACAAGTTTCATACTAGAGCTTTCTTCTTTTCTTTTTCTCTTTTTTCTTTTCTTTTCTTTTCCTTTCCTTTCTTTTCTTTGTTTCTTTCTTTTCTTTTTTCTTTTTTTTTTTTTTTTTTTGGTAGAGTTTTGCTCTTGTCGCCCAGACTGGAGTCTTGGCTCACTGCAACCTCCACCTCCCATGTTCAAGTGATTCTCCTGCCTCAGTCTCCTGAGTAGCTGGGATTACAGGCACCTGTCACCACGCCAGGCTAATTTTTATATTTTCAGTAGAGACAGGGTTTCACGACATTGGCCAGGCTGGTCTTGAACTCCTGACCTAAAGTGATCTGCCTGCCTTGGCCTCTTAAAGTGCTGGGATTATAGGCATGAGCCACCACGCCTGGCCAGGAGCTTTCCTAATCTTACTAGAAGATGTCAACAAAAGGTTTTCAGGTAATCGTAAGGAGCACATTTTAAAGAGCAATTAAATGCAACCCAGGTAATACAATCTGTACTGCTTCCTTTGCCACATTATCAAATATCCTCATTGGTCATAGGAGCTCAGGATTCCACTGTTTGGCAGTTTCAAGCCAATTATGAGCTATGGACTCATGACTCTGGTTGCACTCACCAAAAGACCATGGTGAGGATCATCAACGACAGCTTAGCTCCGACGTAGACAGCAGCCTCGACTCCGCTTCACCTACCCAGTATACTTAGAAGAACTCTAACTCTTTCTAAGGCCTTGACCTCACACTTGAAATAACAGTAAGGTTTAGAATTGAAATTAGTTTCTTTTGTATACAAATTAGTGCCTTTTTTTTTTTTTGAGACAGGGTCTCGCTGTGTTGCCCAGGCTGGAGTGCAGTGACAAGATCATAGCTCACTGTAGCCTCAACCTCCCAGGCTCAGGTGATCCTCCCACCTCAACCTCCCAAGTAGCTGAAACTATAGGCATGCACCACCACAACCGGATAATTTCTGTATTTTTTGTAGAGACAAGATCTTGCTATGTTGCCCAGGCTGTTCTCAAACTCCTAGGCTCAAGTGATTGGCCTGCCTTGACTTCCCAAAGTGCTGGGATTATAGGTGTGAGCCATTGTGCCTGGCCTGTATACATTTGATTTTCTTTTTGTTCTTTCTTTTACAAAAGATTTCATCATGAAAAAGAGGAAGCTCAAACTGAAGTGAGTTAAAAACTTCATCTCCTAGAGAAGATTGTGGCTCAGCCTGAGTTGAGGTGAGATTTGACAGTTCTTACAGATAAACCATGTGGGCTGCATGGCCACATCCTCTCCTGCCCTTTTCTCTCTTCCTTCCTTTCCCTCTTCCTTCCTCTTCTACTTACTTTACTTTCCAAGATTATTTTCTTCTTTCTCTCTCCTGGAGACTCGATGTACTGAAGATGCTGCCTATAGCAGTGGTCACCTTGGAAGCAAGGACCAGTTTTGTGGAAGACAATTTTTCCACTGACTTAAGAGTCTCATAAGGAGCACACAACCAAGAGCTATGCCTCAGTTATGGGTGAATAGTCTGGAAAAAGTGTTCTCAGTTTAGTATAGCTTTGATAACCTACTTACAAAAAAGGGATTGGAGAACCCTGCATGATGAAGAGGGTACCATTACTTTGGAAGATAGAAAATAATGGTCTGTGGGGGAATATATTGAGAGACCTCCTAGAGAAGCCTTTCCTAATACCCTAATAAGTGTCTTAAAGCCCTATATCCCAGTCATTTTTTATTATATGTATCTGTTTTCAAGTCCTGATAGTCCCTATCATCCAACATCTTGTTTGAGTTTCTTTTGGCTTGCTTACTACCTGTCTCCCCATAGAGTGTAAGCTGAATGAGGGCAGGGATCTTATTAGTCCTGTTTAGATGTATGTATTAATACAAGTGCCTGGTGCAGTGCCAAGCATATCACAGATATTGATAAAATTTGCTGAGTTAATAAATAAATGAAGCAATTTAATTATGATATTAAATTCTCTCTGTACCCATTAATTGTGTTTCCATTCCCTCAGTTTTTTATGTTTATATGCAAGTGCAATGAAGAAGAACACCAGCAAGTCTACCACGAGGATCAATGAGCAAGATGCTCTCTGCACCCCACACTCCCATGATCCAAGAGATCTTCAGAGTATGTTGGATGGAGGAGAGTATGCCCCTTTTGTATCTCCTCCCATGTTAGAGAGCAATTTTATCCAGGTAAATCATATTCAAAGCCTGAGTTAAGTTCCAATAACTTCAGTAATTTTCTCAAAGAAAACTGAAAAGGATGGTAGGAGAATTGTTTTAAATGTGCCAAGGGAATGTGTGATATTACTAAAGAGAACAATTTGGGAATTTTAAAAAACCTGAAATAATTACAGCGTTAAAGGACATTTACTTCAAATGTCCCCAAAACTCTTGTGAAGGACTTCTGTCTTAACTCTACCGTAATTGCCATTCCATCATAATCTTCCCAAAATTACATGAAGCCGTTTTTGGCATTTCCCGCCACAGGGAAACATACAGATAACTTCTTTCTTAGGCGTAGAAGACATTCTAAAGAACATCTATGACACAACTAGGGATTACAATGAATCTTAACTCTTAGTTCTGAAGGTAAAATATAATTGTCAGATGGTGTCAGGGAGAAAAGCTTCCTTCTCATAAGAATGTCCCTACATTATGAATGAAACTGCATTTCTGTGCATGTGGGAGCAACGCTAACTTTTCTCTAAACATTCAACATTAAAATGTTCTGACAAAGAAATGGTGAAATGAGTTCAATGATAGGGGTCATACCTCTAAAGTTTCTAGAAATTCCTTAACAAAGTCTTAACACTAAACACTGAGCTATTACCTCTAACTCTTAACACATTCGAGCAGCTGCTTAGCTGATTTCACAGAGGGGTGACAAGGGAAGGCAACAGACACTTCAAAAGGTAAGGAGAGGATGGCAGGAGCTCTTTTGCCACGGCTGCCAGGCCGATCTCCGAGTAGAACCAGGATGCCACTGTGTACGTGGGGGGCCTGGATGAGAAGGTTAGTGAACCTCTGCTGTGGGAACTGTTTCTCCAGGCTGGACCAGTAGTCAACACCACATGCCAAAGGATAGAGTCTGGCCAGCACCAAGGCTATGACTTTGTGAATTCTTGAGTGAGGATGATGCTGACTATGCCATTAAGATCATGAACATGATCAAACTCTATGGGAAGCCGATACAGGTGAACAAGACATCAGTTCACAACAAAAACATGGATGTAGGGACCAACATTTTCATTCGGAACCTGGACCCTGAGATTGATGATGAGAAGTCGTATCCTTTAAGTTGCACAACCCCACCTGGTTAGCATGTCTTTGGCAGTAAGTTACCAAGATTCCTGACTGAACAGGTTTAAATGAAAAAAGAAAAACAATTAGGCTGGGTACAGTGGCTCATGCTGTAATCCCAGCCCTTTGGAAGGACAAGGCAGGAGGATCGCTTGAGGCCAGGAGTTCAAGATTGGCCTGGGCAATGATACTTTCAGCACCTTTGGGGTCATCTTACAAACCCCTAAGATTATGTGGGACCCTGACACAGGCAACTCCAAAGCTTATGCCTTCATTAATTTTACTTCATTTGATGCTTTGGATGCAGCAATTGAAGCCATGAATGGGCAGTACCTCTGTAACTGCCCTATCACCATATCTTATGCCTTCAGGAAGGACTCCAAGGGTGAGCGCCATGGCTTAGCAGCTGGACGACTTCTGGCAGCTCAGAACCTGCTCTCCCAGCCTGACCGCCCTCGTCAGCTGTTTGCAGATGCACCTCCTCCACCCTCTGCCCCCAATCCTGTGGTATTATCATTGGGGTCTGGACTTCCTCCACCAGGCATGCCTCCTCTTGACTCCTTCCCACTCCCAGTGCTGCCTCCTGGAGCCCTCCCACCTGGGATACCCCCCACCATGCCCTACCACCTATGCCTCCTGGGGCTGCAGGACATGGTCCCCCATCAGCAGGAACCCCAGAGGCAGGATATCCTGATTATGGACACTCATGAGCTCACCCATTCCCACCAGGAGGGGTGCCCTATCCAGGGATGTCTCAGACGCAGCTGGCACACCATGGACCTCATGGCTTAGGACATCCCCATTCTGGACCCCCAGGCTCTGGGGAGCAGCCACCACCCCAACCACCACCTGGAATGCCTCATCCTGGACCTCCTCCAATCGGCATGCCCCCCAAGGGTCTCCATTCGGATCTACCATGGGTCACCCAGGTCCCATGCTTCCACATGGTATGCGTGGACCTCCTCCACTGATGCCCCCCTCATGTGTACACTGGCCCTGCACGACCCACACCCTATAGCTACCAGCCTCTCCCTTCACCCAGACCCACTCCCCAGCCACCAGTTGCCCCTTGAGACCTGCTTTGGAGCCCTCTCCCTCAGTAAATTCACATTTTTCTTCCTCCTGTTACATCTTCCCAATATCTTTTTGATTCCTTGGAACAATTAGAGATGCTGTAGCTCCTTGGGGCTAAGGCACTAATCCCTTTCAGCACCCCCACCCCATTCCCCTTTTTAATGTAACTTTTTCCACAGGAGGTATTTCTTTTTTATATTGGTCCTGAGTATTTTGCAAATGCACAGAGAAAATAAAACTAAACTCCTTGTTCTAAAAAAAAAAAATGGTAAGGAGACTTCATCTTCCATAAACACATTCTCTGCACTCATACTTGAGTACTAGTGTGAGCTACCCACCTCCAGTATACCACAGGCAGGAGGTGAAGCCTCCCAAAATATCTAATGTTTTAGTGATGTCCCTAGAACACGTGTAACAAGTCATAATTTGATGTACTTTACCTTCTACATCTTTCCTACTAATCATGTTTTTACTTTTCCACCTTTCATCCTGTGCCCTTTCCAAGTTAGTTAACTTTTGCACACTCTAACGAAATTACATAGTACTTGTCCAACACTGGGGGTAGTTAGCAGTCTATAGGTCAGATGTAGCCCCCTATCATAATTTGATAAGTTGTATCCTTCAAATTGCACAACCCCATCTGGTTAGCATGTCTTTGGCAGTAAGTTACCAAGATTCCTGACTGAACAGGTTTAAATGAAAAAAGAAAAACAATTAGTCTGGGTACAGTGGCTCATGCTATAATCCCAGCCCTTTGGAAGGACAAGGCAGGAGGATCGCTTGAGGCCAGGAGTTCAAGATTGGCCTGGGCAACAAGGGAGATCCCACCTCTAAAAACATTTTTAAAAATTAGCAGGGTGCAATGCTGCACACCTATATTCCTAGCTACTCGAGAGGCTAAGGAGGGAGGATTGCTTATGCCCAGGAGCTCCAGGCTGCAGTTAGCTAGGATGGCACTACTGCACTCCAGCCTGGATGACAAGACAAGACTTTGTCTCTAAAAACAAACAAATAAATATTTTTTAAAAAATTAAAAAGAAAGCAATTATCTCAAATAGAGTGAAAGAGCCCCAGGGCATCAGCTCACTCCCAGTAGAAGACTCACGTTCTCTTTTTTTGTTCTGTCACCTTCAAGCCAGTTCCCCTCAGGGCATCACATCCAAACAGGACAATGATAGCTGCCAGCAGTAGAAGATATTCATCTCATCCTGGTGGCTCTGTCTCCTGGTAGCTCTGAGAAAGGTTTTCCAGGATTGGAGGAGACCCCTCTATGTCTTGCTGGTCACATGCCACTGCTGAAACCAGTCACTGGCAAGGGGTGGAGCAGAACCACCACTACCCATTTAAGTTAATCAGGATTTAATCCCTGAGCTGGGTCATTATCCCTGAGCCATGATATTGGACAAAACCAGGATTCTGTTAATCCGGAAGAAGAGGGGCACAGTTTGGGTAGGTTATCAATAGTGTGAGCTATATCCTCTTTCTTTCAATGATGTATTTTTTAATTGAACCAGTTATCATACAGCTGAGAAACCACAGTGTAGCTCCTCTCTGCCTTCCTTCATTTCCCTGTCTGCCCATCCTCCAGTCTCTTCTTCTACCAAGTGGCAGAGATTTTATTGGCCAAGTTTCTTGGACTTTGGAGGTTTTATACATGCTCTTCCTCTGCCTGGAAACCTCTCCTCTCCACCCAGCCAGTTTATCTCCCACATGGTTCAGGTATCAGCTAGAGGTCTCTTCCTCCGGGGAGACTTTCATGACCCCATATCCAGGGGTGTGCTGGAATTGGTCGATTGGTAAGTGTTCAGGAAATTTGCAAGTCAGTTGTTAAACACAGCCTTTTTAAAAAATAAATTATAGACCAGGTGCGGTGGCTCATGCCTATAATCCCAGCACTTTGGTAGGCCGATGTGGGTGGATCACCTGAGGTCAGGAGTTTGAGATCAGCCCCATCAACATGAGGAAACCCCATCTCTCCTAAAAATACAAAAATTAGCCAGGCTTGGTGGCACGTGCCTGTAATCCCAGCTACTCAGGAGGCTGAGATAGGAGAATCACTTGAACCCGGGAGGCAGAGGTTGCAGTAAGCTGAGATCACGCCACGGCACTCCAGCCTGGGCAACAGAACAAGACTCCATCTAAAAAAAAAATTAAATTCTTAAAAATTAAATTTTATAAACTTATATCTAAAATAAAGGCAACAAATATTCAAAACTCATTGTTCCTATTCTTTTACTACATTTTACTATTGTCTATACTTCTAAGGTTATAAATATAAGAGTTTGGCAAGAGTTTGTGGAATTTATCAATTGGCTCAATGGAATTTAAACTAAAGACTAAAGAATATTGCATATTATTTGTAAATGTGTGTGCTGCTTGTCTTTTATGTCAGTAACATTTTAAACTTATGTGTAAATGTGTGTACCTTCCAAGACCTAGCTGTTACCAGAATATCACTGCCTATCTCCCCACTCTAAGCTAAGTCAAGTCCTCTGTTATGTGCTCCTGTAACATCCTGAACTTGTACTTGGTAACACTTCTTACAGTAATAATTAGTCACATACTTAAATTGTTTAATGTTTGCCTTCCCTGGTAGACCCCCATGGGTCAGAGACTGTGTATGTTCCCTGTGGTATCTCCAAGAATTAGCATGAGCAAGTGAAGGAACAAATACATCATGGTTCATTTCTCCTTTATTTCCTGCCCTCTTCCACTTCTCAGGCAAGCAAGGTTGTCAAAGCCACACATTTCATCGTATAATGCCTTTTCCTGTTTTCTGCACTCAGGTTAACAGGAGAGGTGAATCCATTTACCTTCATAACCGAGCCAACTGGGTGACCGTAGGCATCTGTTCTTCCAGTTCCACCCACAAGATCCCTAATGTGATGCTACTGGCACATCTGACACCTGGTGCCCGGAAAGATACAGAACCCCTGTTTAAAAGTCTCCTGACATCTCCTCCTGCAGAGAAACTGGTGCTCACCAGGTGAGTTACAAAGAGAAGAGGTTAAAGATCTCTCAGAATACGTGCATTACCCCTGCGGATCTGAAATTAGAAACACTGATGACAATTGCACCAAAGGAGCATCTCACTCGCATTCCCTGCTGCAAATGACAAAGAGGAGCATCCTTAAAGACGGGTGAAATAATGTATGACAGTGGATATCAAGCAGGCAGTTAATTTTTTAAAAACTAAATCTAATTAACAGGAACTGAAGACTCATAATAAACTGCCTTTCTAGAACATGCCTCCTCTTTCATAGCATCCCAGCTTCCAACAGAGTTAGCTCTGGTCTTGTCTCAGCCTCTAACTTGGTCTATGATCGTGAGCAAATTGCTTGACTTTAAGTTAACTTTGAAGGATTAATTTAAATGGAGACCTTCTCATGATAAATAGTTGACATTCTGATGTATTTTGTTTTTGAGATGGAGTCTTGCACTGTCACCCAGGCTGGAGTGCAGTGGCACGATCTTGGCTCACTACAACCTCCACCTCCCAGTTCAAGCAATTCTCCTGTCTCAGCCTCCCGAGTGGCTGGGACTACAGGTATACACCACCACGCTCAGCTAATTTTTGTATTTTTAGTAGAGACAGGGTTTCACCATATTGGTCAGGCTGGTATTGAACTGCTGACCTCAGGTGATCCACCCACCTTGGAGTCCCAAAGTGCTGGGATTACAGGTGTGAGCCACTGCACCCAGCCTATTCTGACATTTTTATACATCAGAGCCTTAGGTATATGATTAAGATGAGACGGTCCTCAGGAGCCCTTACCCAGATCTATCTGGGAGACAAGTCGGGTGTCTTGAGTCTCACTCTTCAAACTACTATAAAATATAAGAAAGAGGCTGGGCATGGTGGCTCACACCTGTAATCCCAATACTTTTGGAGGCCAAGGCAGGTGAATTGCTTGAGCCCAGGCATTCAAGACCAGCCTGGGCAACGTGGTGAAACCTTGTCTCTACAAAAAAATACAAAAATTAGCCAGGCGTTGGTGGTACATACCTGTTGTGCCAGCTACTTGGGAGGATGAGGTGGGAGTATCACTTAGGCACAGGATGTCAAGGCTCCAGTAAGCCATGATCACACCACAACTACACTCCAGCCTGGGCAACAGAGTGAGACCTTATCTCAAAACAAACCAACAAACAAACAAACAACTATATATATAAGAAAGGCCTTTTTATAAGCCTCCAATCAGGTTTCCAGATGATGTTACTGTGTGCTTGTTTGCAGGTTTCTCCCTCTGCAGTTTGTGACTCTTTCTGTGCATGACGCAGAGAACATGCGCCTAAAAGTAAAGCTGGTGAGTGGTCGAGCCTACTACTTACAGCTCTGCACTTCTGCATGTAAACAGGACACCTTGTTTTCTCAATGGGTGGCCCTCATCTCCCTCTTGAATCAGGAGAAAGCCAAAGTTTCCAAAGTGTCAGAGGTTTCAAGTCTCTCAGGAATTACGAATAGCACAGACGTCACAGGCTCCACGGATGTGATGGATATCACAGCATTCACAGCCATCCTGACCCCGTACATGTACGCAGGTAGAGGCCCTGAACATGTCAGGGACAGCATAGATTTCTCAGAATTCACAGACATCACCGACATCACAGATGTCACAGACCTTCCAGAAAATGAGGTCCCAGAGGTCCCGGATATAAGAATTGTTACAGAAGTCATAGAAGTCAGAGAAGCCACAGAAGTCACAGACAACTCTGATATTACAAACTGCTCGGGAGTCACAGTGGTGTTTGAAAACAATGACTTAATCAGGGCCAGGCAAGAGGAGAAGGTACGTGTCACTGAAGGCTTTCATGTTTTAATAACTGAGAACTAGAGTGATTACCAAGATCACACTTCTTGGTTAGCTGACATTGATTATCAAAATGCTATGGAACCTACCTACTCTGAGTAACCCAATTTTAATAGTGAGATTCGATCTCTGAACCCTGGTGTAAAGGAGTTGTAAGATGTCTCCTGAAATAGGCAGTGACAACCGTTAACATAAATCTTAGCCCAGCATCCAAAATAGAAAGAACCTTGGAATCAGAATCAGAACCAAGTTAGACTCTCAACCTGCAGCATATTACTTGTGTGACTTCGCCCAAGTCACATAATCCACATGAGCCTCAGTTTCCTCACTTCTAAAATGAGGATATTAATACAATGTAAGGGTTATTTTCTGGTTTAAAAATATATAGCAGTACCCAGTACCTTGAAGGATGGGATGAAATTTCTATGGGTAAACATGAGGATGGAAATAGGATAATAAAAAACAAAACAAAATGAATGGCTTTAGAAAAGGCCAGAGAGTGGAAAAACACAGAGTCATGTCCAAAAATGTTTCATTCAGTTGGGCTAGAGGATAATATATATGGAGAATAGTAGAAAATAGGACTGGGAAGTTGCTTAAAAACCTTGAGAGCCAAATTTAAAGTGAGAACTCTTTGGGCAAACCTTAGTGACCACAGTCTCCTGTGTAAGGGAATGAAGGAGCTGTGTTTTTAAAAGATTAATCTAATGGCAGGATGGATTATAGGTAAAGAGATCTGTTTGAAGACTACTGTTGAAAAACTTCCTCTAGGTCCACAATAGAAAAAAGGCCGGTGCAGTGGCTCACACCTGTAATCTCGGCACTTTGGGAGGCCAAGACAGGTGGATTGCTTGAGCTTGGGAGTTCAAGACCAGCCTAGGAAACATGGC